TTTCCCCCACTGCAAACATGGTGATGATGTTTTTAACGTAAGCCTGGATGGCATTTTAAAAAACGGTTGGTTGGGGGGGGGCGCAGTCCCCTTCATTTGCAAACCCAGATGACCAGCACAACTTTCCCCTACTATCCAATCCAAACATGGTGATGACGTGATGTTTGCACGGGGGTTGGGGGGGCGCAGCCGCCCCCACTAACATACAAAATGATGAGCATAACAGCATAAGCTTCCCTTATTGCAAACATGGTGATGACGTAAGGTTTTTACTGTGAACATGGATGGCTTCAAAAAAGCGAGGAATTCGGAGGGTCGCAGCCCCACCCCCCCCGTTGCAAACAAAAATGATCAGCACAACCTGCTCCTACTATCTAAACATGGTGATGACGTAACGTTTGCACCGCGAGCATGGAAGGCCTTGAAAAAGCGGGGGCGTTGGGGGTGGCGCAGTCCCCCCCGATTTGCAAACAAAATGATCCGCACGACCTTCCACTACTGCAAACATGGTGATGACATGGCTCTTTTGCACCGTAAGCATTACATGGGCAATAGTATTGCCAATGATCAGACCGATGAGAAAAGCGGAGAGACAACAGGGCCAGGAAGGAGACTATGGCTCAAACTATTTTTTGATGCTTGGCAGATTATTTGTTGATGCTTGGCAATTTTTCTTGATGCCTTAGCAAATTATCTTTTGATGCCCGTGCGAACATTAATCCCGCTTGGACATTCGCTCCTGTTACAATGACAAAAGTCATGCCTGCTTCCGTCCAACACCATCGCCTCCTCCATGATAGAATTGTGAAGGCCACATCGCGTACTGCTCCCACGGCTTGGAAGGACTCTAATGTGAAGTTCATTACATTATACTAACCCCCCCCACTGCAGACAACATTTTTTCCTCATTTCTGGGCGGGGAATTCTGCCATTACCCCCCCTTAATACAATGCACCCCCTGACTGCCCTATATGCCCTACATGTGCATACGGCATATCAAGCAACACATAGGTTCGCAGTTAACATCAAATAAAAATTCTAAATCTCATGAATCTCTCTGGCCAGTGAAATTCTATGTTTATCACCCACTTCAGAATGACTCACATGACTGACCCTACACTTGGCTGCCACGCCCACCAAGCCTAAACCCTTGTGGTGGGCATGCCAGAGAATCACCAAAGCAAGCCATTCGCATGAGTCAAGTCTTAGAAGAGAAGGGGCACATGTGCAATGCCTGGCCTGCAAGTGTCCAAAGATACAGCCCTGCACGAGCAAGCCCATGATGTTGGCGGCAATCCTTGGATCAGCTCACAACCTGTTTGGCCTCCTGGCCTTGTTGGCATTTATTGAGCATGTCCTCGCAGATCCTAGGGCCTAGGTAGCCAGATACAGGTCAGGAGCTGTCCTATGCAGCAGGGCACTGAAAGAATAACTGATGACACCTTGTCCCAACATGAATCTGCTCCAACTGGTGGGCAGTTCGGGTTTGCAAACTCCCCCAAGCGAACGAGATTCACTCCCCGCGAGCATGCACAAGACTCCGCAGCTACCAGCTGTCTTGATCTACCATGCCCTGGAAATTTCGTCTAAATCCAACCGTTCCCTGGGACAAGGAAGCAGTAGAGCAACGCTTGCAAAGCCACTTGGTCAAGGGAAGGCCAATGCGGAGTCTAGAACAGAGCAGAGCTCTACAGAGATGAGCGTCATCCCAAAGGTATCAGCCACCGATGCCGAGGAAAGCGCCAGCTCCACGAAGGACGGGCTCTGCTCCTCGCAATGCTTTCAAGTCCTGGGAGCTGAAGCTGAATGCAACCATCGAATCTGAGTTCCCCACCTGCGCAATCAGCGTGAAAGCACCAACGTAAACGCCACCTCCCAGGCACCCGACGAAGAATGCCTGGTCACGGATGCACCCAACAAACCGCGGGATGCTTAACCTCCCGAAAATCTTGCCATACAGTTATACACACCACCCCTGGATGCAGCTTCTGGAAGCCCTTAAAATTCCCAGCCCTCCCACCGGCCGGCGCCAGCAACCACCAGTCGCCAAAGGGCTGCCTGGCCGGAGACTGAAAAAGAAAACCCTCAAAATACCTCGAGAGCTGCATCTCAATAGGGAGCAAGGAGTCACAGCCCTCCAGCCAACTTCACGCAGACCACGGCCATGACTGCATAAGACAAAGGCACCAGGCAGCTGCAGCGAAGAAGATAGCCATGAGCACCTGCACGAGTGTGTGTCGAGCTTCAAATATCGGTTCGGCTAATCTCAAGCTGAAATTTGGTCCGGAGGCCTGCAGAAACCCACCTGCCCACAGCACTCTTCGGTTGCGACAGATCAGGATAAACGCGGACCTTGCATTGACTTCGTCTATGCCCGAATGACAGAACAGCAGAGATGTTGTCCAACTATAAGACCGGGGCCTGGAGATGAAAACGCCGATTTGGTACATGAAGTTGGACCACCTGAGATGGAGAGCTCAAGGTCCTCTGATGCTCGGCAGAGCTAAAATCCCAGCCGTGACGCAAGTTTGGGGTGGATACTATGACAAGAGACTTAAGCTGCAAAGGCAATCTGGCAAGGTGCTTGTAAAACGTGTGCCGAGCTTTGGGATCCGTGACCGGGAATCCCATCGCAGCCCAGAAGCCCGACTGAATCCTTGGTGAAAACACGACTTCAATCAAGAAGTTTGTCAATTTAGGAAACCTCTACGCACAACTGTTGAGTTCAAGCTTCGTGTATTCAGCAGCATATACGAAGAAGAGCGGCACTGTGTACCTCATAGTGCACCGCTGACATCAATTGAGTATCCATTGAGCTTTAGCAGCTTCCACCGAGCTGCTCTTAATGCCGGCTGCCACGACACGATCTTAAAAGCAGCGTGCGCTTAGTTCCGTCCAGGCAAAGGCATCCTAGGTCAATGAGCACCTATCACAAGAACTCCTCATGATGCACGCCAGGTCACGGCCACAGCGAGAGGATGAAGGAAAACCTCTCCTGCATGACTTGCTTGAAATCCCTAATTCACTCCCTAACTGTGCTACAGTGCTGATACAGCGCTGGAGCAGCCCCACTTCCTGAAAACCTTCGGAATGCTTATAAGGAAGCGCCTGGAAAGATAGCTTCCCTGTTGCGAGCTCGGAGGCATGGTGTTCAATCACCTCAGCAAAGTTTCACAAAACATGAAGTAAGCGGATCGCTCCCACTCTGTCCTTTTACTTTTAAGACAGGACACCGAGTCTTCACTCTCTACCTCTTCGCTGTAGGAGTCCGAGCTATCTGCTGCACAGTCCTTCGATGCTTGCTCCGAAAACTGCAGAACAGCATAGCATAGTTCTTTCTACAGACCATGTACCAAAAAAAGTGGCCTGCACCGTGGCTTTGAAGACCACGCAACCTTGAGGATGAAAAGCAGGGTGGCGCTCCAGACTCCTCCCTTTCCTTCACCAAAACCCTCCCACAACCTTGACACTCTCTCGCCGCCAAATCAAGTCTCGTCGAATTTCTTCCTTCTCCCTTCCCTCCTCCCCTTTGCCGGGCGCAACAGCTTTTGCTTCAAGCTTTGCTTTTGCTCGGCCAAATGCAGCCGGTGTTTCGGGGAGGGCAACGTTCATCGTGCCCCGCTCCTGTACAAGAGTTTCAAAAACATGCCAGATGCAGGTGGGCCCTAACATCACCTGGTCAATCCAGGGCGGCCCAAGGAGGCAGTGGAAGGCCAGGAGGAAAGCAACCGGTAGCCACATGGCAACCATGAGCTCCACCTTGAAGGCTTGGATACAAACAGCAAGTGGCCCGGACAAGATCTTTGGAGCGCCTGAAAGCAAACGTCCAGAAAGTCGAAGAAAAGGCTCCAGACCTTGAGACTCCACACGTACAGCTGCATTTAGCCGCATCATCCCGCAGAAAAGTAAGTGGACTCAATGACTTGTTGCTGCTGAAAGGGCATAGCCAGCAATGCCCGCGAAGCCGGTGCCCGAAGACCAGGCCGTCAAACAGGGCTGCAGGTGTCAACACAGGGCGTTCAGGTACATGGAGCTGTGAAAGAATTTTGTACCGCACCAGGACCTCTACTGCTCTTGAAGCAAAAAACATGTTGCATGTTGACTTACTCACAGCTTGCTGCCACAGCCTTGGTTTCATAGAAAGATGCCATCGCCAAAAGGCTGGCCTCAAGGAAAGATATTCTCCGAAAGCAAAACGAAGTGAGGGTCACTCCAGCATACTGCCTCGCCCATACCAGCAGCAAAGGATGCAAGAGCTACCTCAGAGCAAAGCCATCAAAAGCAGCCTGCTGTGGTTGCGGTTGCTGCAGATGACTTCTATAGACCATGGTGCTCCTATGAGCTTCTGGTAGGGCCCATTGCCCCAGGCCACCTGCCAAATCGCATGGGGTCATGCAAGATCTGAAGGTCCTAGAGTTCAGCGACAGTAGTAAGTACGTCAACGGCATGGAACCGCCTGGATGAGGCAGAGGACCATGAGTAGGGCAATCAACCAAATTCTGTACCTTGGAGACTGCAACAGCTCAGCCCTGGCTACCCCGCAGCAGAAACAAGCAAGAAAACTAGAAAAGTAGAAAGCAAGCAAGCCAACAGAAGCCCGCGTCGCAGCTACGTGCCTGCCTAGCTTGGCGTTAAGTTCACGATCAGTGCATGGCAAGAAGCTTGTAGCTCACATGGTGAAACCAGTATGGACCACTGAGCTTCATTGTCAGGGACGGAAGCACATTAACGAGGTACACCAGCGCAACTCCAGCCTGCAGTCAACTCTGCTTTTTTGAAGTCCTGCATGCTGTTCACTGGTTGACAGAGACTGTGTGAACATGTGTGAACATGATGTATCCAGAGACTGTAGAAACATTCTGTTAAACTGAGCCTAGCAAGCCATGACAGGCAAAACATGAGACGGCTGGTCGTGGGCAAGCAACTGAGTTGATCTCGTTGGCTCCAGCATTCAACACTACCCACAGGAAGTTGTTGAGCAAGCCAAGGATCCAAAAAGCCTCGCACGGCGTCTCATGTGGAACTGCAAGGACCTGAATTTCCTGCTGCATGGTAAGAACTGTTCAATTTTGCACAACTGGCAGCCAAAGAGCAATGACGTTCCCATAGAGGCGACACTTGCCCCTCATCTTCCCGGAGGAGCACAGCGGCTCCAAAATTGAGAGGCCCGGTGATGCATGTATGGATTCTACTGGCGACAAAACGGCGAAAGTGTGCTGTCTCCCGCTACTTCTACCTGGTCTACAAGAAGCCTCTGACACCCTGACCTTGACCTTGCGCTCCTGATTGCAAGATTGTCTATCGGCTTGCTGACGCAACATGAGTGACTCAGTGCGGGACCCCCAGCTTCAGCGTATCTTTGAACCACATACAGTACAAGGCTGGAATGGGGTAGACTGAGCCGTATCTGTGCTCTCTCCCGGCCTGAGCCCAAATAGCCAGCGCCACCCGTGCCAAGCACAGGCGGCCTGTCTCCTCTGACCTCAGACTCACACACTCGGCCCCGACGTTGAAGCGGGTGATAGCGGTGAGAGCAGTGGGGCTTCAACTTGTCCAGCAGGTGGTCCCTGCGACTTCGGCCCCATCGCTGCAGGAAGTCCACCTCCCAAGCGTTGCTGCTTCGATGCAACTTTGGCAGCTTCGGCAAGCTTTCGCCTTGGACAGCATCTGCTGTGCCGCGCGATCGAAGCGCAGGAGCCGCGCTGTGCGAGACCTAAACAAAAAAAGCGAGCTGCTTCAACAGAGCTCCTTCGTTGAAGCAGGGCCTCTCCTCGACTGAGCTCTGGGCCAGGCAGTGAAGGTTGCATTCAGCAGGACCTTTCTGCAATCCCGAAGTGCAGTTGCTCACCACAAAACGGGCACTGAGATGCGCTGAGCAGTGCGGCCGTGCCCGCTCGGCAAAGGAGCTGCATTCCAAGCCCGTCCATTTTCACCTTTTAGCAGATCAATCTGGGTCGCAGCAACATCTCGAGCTGTGGGGGGAGTGCGTCGTAGCTTTGGCGACGGTCCATGGCGTCGGCACTCGCATCAACCCTGGAAGAGCGCTTGACAACGCAATCTGCTCAGGCCCCCTTACATGGGAGAGCTTAACAATTTTGTTCAGGCGTGCGTTCTACCTTACCCTGAACCAGCACAGGTTGCACCAGCGCAATTTGCACCTGCTTCTCCAGGACTGGAACATCGTCCAGAGAACGTGCCTGCGTTCCATGTCTCGTTTGGGCTTCACAAACGATGGATGTCACGTGTGGGACCTTGAACCTTATCTGTGCTTGTCCGTTTCTGCAATGGTCCCTTGTGACCCTTGATATGACCAAAAAGCAACTGGCTTGGGAGACTGGCATCTAATATCGAAGGCGGGATTCTCATCATGCTGAGCAGGTTTTTATTGCGGGCCAATTGGACTCAGAAGCCACGCTTACCTTCCACACATTTATGCAAAATAACCCTGAGCGCTCACAGCTGCATCAGCTACTGTCTCGACTATTTCCAGCAACAATCGAATTAGATTAGACACAATAGCAAAGCAATGTTCATTCAAACTTTCCGCAACTCCTTTGCTCCATCATTTCAGCCTGCCCTGCTCTCCTTCTTACTCCACCTCCTCCTATCACAGTAGGTGCAGCTATGTGCAGCTTCAGTGCCACCAAGACATTGAGATGGGGATTCTTGCAGAGGCAGGCTCCTCAAAAAGCTGAGGATTCTCGTCCGCCTGTTCCACCTCAACACCTTGCTGTCACTCGCCACACAGTTCTGGCCTCTGCAATTGGCGCACGAAGGTCTCAGCCGTGCGGTGCAGCAGCAGGTCCTGTCTCCAACACAAGCAAAGATAAGAAAAGGATAACGGGTGCGGCCCTGCAAACTGACTGTGCAACTTATGCCTTCCGTGATCGCAGACGTTTGGAGAGCTCGTCTGTCTCGCTTCGGTGAGCCTCAGCAAACTGCGCGCAATCGTTGCAGACAGCTCTGCTTCAAAAATCACACTGCTCCGTTTACAAGACGCCACCAGGAGTTCTTCCCACTTTGCCATCGAATCAAGGGTTACAAGACCGACAACGCCGCTAGCCACCCAGCGCAAGCTCGCGAGCAGCCAAGTTGAGTGAATGTTGAGGGTCACCGGATGATTGCGGCTGAGGGCGTCCCTGGCACGGCCCTTCGAATCCTGTTGCCTTCCGGCAGATTGTTGTCCTGCGTCTACTGGCAGACTGGCAGAGCTGCCTCCGCTCCGGTCAGTGCTGTGGCTTGCCGAAAGGCATACCATGTCTTCGCGGCACGCATTGTAGCGTCTTTGAGCCAGCTACGATCCATCGCATCGGCACCATCATCAACCCCGGCGGACCACTTCACCGCACATGCCCCACGGAGGTAAGCTCCGGGCAATGCGCATCCAAGAGCGCAAGATCTGAAGCAAGAGAGCCTCGCACTCTCTGCACGCAATTGTTCGAGGTGCATGTCATGTCGCTGTGCCGGTCTGATCATGAAGAAACCGCACAAACAAGCGTGCAACACTTTACTCGCTGACACATCTTGATGATCTTCCCACAAAGGTGAGTGAAGCCAACATACTCAACTTATGCAGAAAATGACCGAAATCGCGAGCAGGTTGTTGCCTGCCGCCGGCGCGTCTCGAGGGTTTCCCGAGCTTGGCTCCTCCAGGCTGAAACTCCGCTGTTGGCGTTGGAGACGACAAGAGGGGCAACACGAAGCGATTGGACTTCCGTGCCTCAGCGCCCTGCTGCCCTCGGCCTTCAGTCTCTGCAGCTCCCCCCGTAGTTGGTCGGCCTGCACATTGGGGCTTGGGACGTTGGGACGTCGGGACGTGACGTCGGGACGTGTAGTCACTTTTTTGGCAACGATCGGGCCTCGCTGGCCTCAAGCTCTCGGGCACGTGCCAGACGCATAGCCACGGCCACCAGGAGCCAGGCGCCCAGGACCTGGCCTCAGTACAGGTTCTAATGGCCAGCACCGCTTAAACTCTCTGGCAGCCAAGTAGCAAATCCACAGCTTGTCCTTTGGGCTTAGGCCAGTACCTGCGCAAACAACGCGGTGTCCAGATTGGCAGGTCATTCTCAATCCACAGCCCTCCCACAAGCCTCCAAGCATCCTGTCGGTCCTTCTGAGGGCCTCCCGAATATGAACCAGACTATCCACACGGCTTATCAGATCATCTCGGATCGCATCACCCCCGCACGGGCATCCAAGTCTATGCCTTTGCAAACCCCAAAATCTCCCATCCTGCTGGCGCTGGCTCAGCTTCTGCCTGGCTTTCACTGCGAACACCACTGCAACAGACTCGAAAAGGATGCCGAGCACTCCGGCCTTTCAGACGCAGCCTCCTGATCCTTGCAAGGGGGCGCATGCAGAGAACATAGCGAGTGCTTGCAAAACTCCTGGAGCTTCCGGTGCAGAGCATCGTGCTGGGCAAGCAGCCGCCGCAGCTCCTTTGGGTTTGGGGCAAGTGGGGTGGAACCCAAGCGCACTCCAAGTGATTCGTCTCCATCCTCATCCTTCCTGTCCAGGGCTAGCAGTGCGTCTTCCGCATTGCGGTCCTTCTTGACCTGAACGATAAGCCGCTCAATCTGTCAATGTGCAACTCTGGAACACTAAGACCGCTAAGAGCCAAGCATGCAGAAGGTACTGTGCCCAGGCCAGGAATACAGCGGAGCGTAGACCCTCCAGCTGTGATTTTGGCTTGACTCTTGACTGGAATATGTTGCAGCATTCCAAGTCCAGCAGCTAGCCTGATTGTGCTGTCCCAAAAGGGCCGCCAGCGAGGACATTAAGAACTTCTGCTTAGCCTCGAAGGCGAGAACAAAGGCTGTCCGCCATGCATGCTGGGATCTGTCCTCGGCTTGCTGTCGCTGCAGCTCCTGACATGCTGACAACGTACCCCGGTTCCAGCAAGTCATTTTGGTCCACTGTAACAGCTCAAGCTTTGCCTCCAAGAACAGCTTGTGCTTTTGGGCTTGCAGCTGCTCCTCTTCCTTCACCGCTACAGGGCAGCACTAGCATGTCCGCGTTTCTCTGGTACTATGACTGAAGTGCGTGCACTCAAAATGACTCCGGCCTCACGGTTTTTTCTCTGATCCTCATGGGCTTGATGAACCCGGGCGAGCTGGACATCAAAGACCTTTGCACTCGAGATCTGCCAGAAAAACGAGAAAAAGCCAACCAGTCAGGCTTTCTTGACATGACAGATGTGGCAATGCCATCCAGTCAGCCTGTGATAAGGCTCCTAAGTTTACATAGAGCGCATGAAGCCCTGCAACATCCTGGAACAACATCGACACCATTCCGAGGTGCCAGCATTTTGAGAACCCTGGAGCTCTTGGCGGTGCTGTTCCCCGAGGCCAGCACGCTGCAGCTCCTTGGTCAAAGTAGCAGGCATACCGAAAACAACAAATTCTATGATGTCTTGGAAGAGCACAAATGCGGCGGCGCTGGCAAGGAAGCTGTGGGTGAGACAGCAGCTTTGCAACTGTTTGTGGCCACATCACAAGGGCACAGGAACTGGCGAAGTGTGTGTTTTCCCTAGGTGTGGTTCGGCCCTTGTTTGTTCCCAGGTGTGGCTCGATCCTTGTGGGGGTTTCACCCTACTTAGTTGTGACCCTTAACACTATTGATACACAAAAGAAGATATGAAAGCGCAAACATGATGCCTGAGGCGAGGATGGCGACCCTGACCTGAATGATCCCTCTGACTGTTGATTGACACTTTTGACACGCAAGTTTGGGCTGGCCAAAACGATGACAGTTTCCTCTGACTGTTGGCACTTTTGACATGCAACCATGATGTGAAGATCCAGAAGAGACGACCAGCAAGGGATGGCGGCCCCGACCTGCGCACTTTTTCCTTGTTAGCCCTTCGGAAAACTTTCGAAGCGCCACAAACTGCAAATGCCTTCTGGAATGCCGCGCATACTGCAAGTTGAAACAGTGGCAAGTCCTGCTTAAATTGCGGCACATGACAACAATCCGCTAGGTTTGTGCTCCAACCTTTTTAGACCTCCTGGAAAGGGATGTGATGCAAGGAGCAACCTTAGCAGACCCTCGAATGCTCCAAATAGGATCAAACGCAGTTAGAGCGAACAACTCGTTGACCATTCTCACATACTGCATCTCGCATGCGCAA